AATTGTTTTGACTCACTAGATAGATGCAGCCATGAAGCTTAAAGAGTCTGCCCAATATTTGTAGGCTAAAATCAATGAATTAAAGGTAAATGATTTAAAACATGTTATTTTTTTGATTCAACACCTTGAACGCGTGTGATGGTCTACTTGGGAAAAAGAAAAAGCTCATATTTTTGCTGTTATTTTTTTGGGTCAACATCAATTTTGACTATTTTGCAAATCTTCTTGATTTAGATCTAGAAAAGTCTTTATCTCCTTTTGTTGGAAACAATATCTGCAACTTACTCTACATTTTTTTATTAGTAATTGTTATTTGTTGATTCATATAGAGTTTGTTAGTTGGGTGATCGTTAATTATGTTCATGCTTAGTCAGCAGATAGTCACCTGAGATCATCTGTGGTATGTAATTTTTAATAATTTTTTATTATTTATTTCAATATAGTATGAAAGAGGGTATTTTGGTCCTTTATAAAGAAATGAAGAACATAACTGGAATCCTTCCACCCACCCTAGGAATGGTGAAATGCCATGGAATGGAATCTTGGATTCTTATTCTGATTTGCCATGGTTCATTCAATTACAATGAAAAAAATAAGTTTATCTTCCCTCATTTAATGGAATGGGCCACTCCTGAATGAACTGATTCCTTTTATTTTTTCAATTTCCATTTCTTAGGCAAATGGTCTTTTTTTTATCATGTTATGGAATAACAAGAGAAGCTCTAATTAAGCTCTTTTTATTTATAAAATTTCCAGTTACATAAATGTAATGGTTTTAACTAAATTATGATTTTATTTTCTAAAAAATTGCTAGAATGTTATTGTTAGTATCTTATTTGATGTTACTCATTTTATTATGTTAAAGTTTTTAATAGGAATTGTCTGCAGCTCACTCATTTGATCTCCAGCAACATGCATATTAATTCCACATTAGAAATCTATGGGAAGAAAATAAAAGTAACCAGCCAAATGTATTTATTTATGCCTTTTGTTACTTGTGAAGTTCTTTTTTTTTATCCTAAAAATCAATTTGTGTTTAGAGACTCATCAACAATTATGTGAGGTGATTTTGGAGCAGACTATGTTGTAGAAGTAATGAAGGTTTTTAATCCCGATCTTTAACTCTTCCATTCGAATTATATATTTGAAGATAACTTAAGTGATATTGTTTTATGTACCTCTCATTTTCTTTAACAAATATATTTTACTCAACAGATCAGCCTCTTCATGTAATACTTCAATTTGTAGCATATGTACAACATTTAATAGTGGTTTTCTTGGACAATGGTTGTTATAGCTCTATTTTCTTGGAAAATGCAACAAGCTAGGAGAAGGCATTACTTCATTGGTATGAAACGAGTCATATTTTATTACTAAAACATATTTCTATTTTCAGTGTATTAACAACTTAATATGTGGTATGGTCTGAAACAAATGGTGTATTAATGAAATTATGTGATATTTAATATATGAATCATGTGCAAAACAAGGAAAAAGGACAATCATTTCGAAAATAATAGTATTTAAAAGGTTTTTTATTTTATTTTATTTTATACTAAAGACAACTTTTGATAAATTTAATATCTCAATCACAAAAAATGAAAGACTATTTAGAAAAATATCACATTTTCAATATCAATGAAAAGATAACAACCTAAATCTTAAAGTCTTAAACCATAGCTTATATCTTAAATGAAACTATTCACTGAGAAAAAATGTTCAAACACCTTAAATTAAAACATTCACAAATACAGTTCCGGTTGTTGTTTATCTTTATTCCCTTTTTAATGTATACATGTCCTTATTTTCTTTCTTTTTTAATCATGTTTTAGAATAATGTAATGAAACGAGTCATATTTTGTGATTTGAATAACAATGGTTAACTATGCATTAAACCGATATGATTATATTTTCTAACTAAAGACATTAGAATAAAAGATACTTAGGCTGTTTCAATAAATACTTCTTTTAAAATAAAATAAAAAAAAAACTAATCATAAACGGCTAAATATTCTCTAATATATGTTCTTTATAATATGACATGTTTACGAAAAACCTATTTATTGAAAGGAAACTTTAATATAAATGAAGATAAACTTAAGAAATGATAATAATATTTTAATATGTAAAAGTAAAATTGCATATATGGAAAATATGTTTTAGTAATAAAATCAACAAGTGATTTTAATTTGGTTTGCAAAAAACCAAAATTTGCACCATAAGTTTGAAGCTAAGCTTCGAACTTGGGTCAAATCCGTTTTCGTACAAATGATCACAACTAGATTAGAGCTTAGTGACATGAATTTCGAATTAGAATAATCGTGATACGGTTTAAACATTAGTCACATAAGATATTGCAGATGAAAATTGATAAATGACAAATAATTAACAACATAACATGTGAATTGTTTATGAGTGTGATTCTTTTCATGAGTCTATCTAATTTTTATGTTTGATAGTTTAATCTCTTATTAAAATATCACTTTACAATCCGGTTGTCATTTGGTTTTTTATTTCTTAGTTTTTATTTATAAGCATAGATTTGATTTTGTTATAGCAAGTAACTTATCATGTATAATTTATAATATTTTAAGTTGTCATCCCGTGTACTATACGGGTTATAACCTAGTTACTATTAAAGTGTTAATATCTCTTATTATATGCCATCTTTATGGTTTCTCACATACTTCAGATTTAGCATCCATATGAGATGTTGGATCAAGTTGATTAAAAGCCATGTATCCCGAGTGAAAAATAAAATATGGATACTCAAATTTTTTTAACCATCATAAGTCATAATATAAGAAATTCCTTGGATATATAAATCGAAGCAATATAAAGAAAATCCATTGTATTTAGGTTTAATTATTTTGTAATTTAGTTTCATTAAATGAAAATCATATAAATTTAACAAGTTCTTTTATGTCTATCATTTTGACAGTAGCGGGTAGACTGCATTTATTATAAAAAAGAAAAAGAAAAAGTTGTATTTGCACAAATAAAACTATATATAATAAAGGTTAAAGTGGTCCCAATTAAAATTTTGTCAAAAATTTACTAGTTTTAATGAAAAGAAATCAAAGCCATTAAATTTTGATGTACAATCATTCATTTCTTTGGAAAAATATTTATGATTAGTTTTTTTTTATTGATTTAATTGAATTAAAATGTCTATCTACAATCTTTAGATATAACTTTACGATCAAAACTAGTTGGTTTTTATATATCCGTTAATTCATACAATTTTAGGTGCGTAGGACATGCTCAAATAAAAAAGATAATTTTTATAAAGAAATTTGTTAATATCAATGAGTATACCATTGTTTATATCATAAAATGATAAATAATAGTTTAGGGTCTCACGTTAGCCGGAGAAAAAATAAAGCCGTAAAAAGAAAAAGAAAACAAAAAATCCATTCATTGATGAATATTGCTATTTTTTAGGATAGTTATTCTTTTTGGAAAGAAAACATATACCAAAATTTATAACTTTTATGTCTATAGAGATATCCAAATTCAAATTCAAAAAACAAATTTAGCACTATATTCATTGGTGAATAAAATATGATTAATGTGATTTTATATATTATCTAAGGATTTTTTTTTCCAAAAAAAAAACAAATACACCAAATTTATATAATTATTTATATGTTTTATAAATAGATTTTTATATCGATATACAATATAAAAAATATATTTTTTATTTTTAATTATTATTCATTAATGAATGGTTTTGATTTTTTTTTTTTTACATTCTTAAACTTTTTTTAATTAGCATGAGAACTTATATCAATATTTATCATTTTTATGTTCTATAAATAATATATATATATATATATATATATATATATATATATATATATATATATATTTTGATATAAACAAATAACATAACGTTGTTTTTAATTTCACAAGAATTATTGTTTCTATTTAAACTGTTAGTTATATAAATAATCATATCTTATTTTAGTTTGTACAATAACATAAACTTACACATTTTCTCTTAAGTTTAAATGTTGTTAAAACTGGGATCTTGATTGTAGGATTAACAATCAATATTGGTAAGACCATTATCTTGATCATAAGATACAATCCTACAATCTTACAAGCCAAAAACAATCATAATCGCAATATGATTGATCGTATAGCAAAATCGTACCTATGGTTGTAGGATTATTTGTCTGATCATAACATCGTGCTTGATCCAATCCTTTTTTTTCTAATATAGTCTTTAAGGTCTAAAATCTTAAATTCTAAAGTTTTTCCTAATACTAGATAATTAATATCACATATTATTGAAAAATCCAATACATAATCATTCAAATTTGTTTTATACTTGAAATCGAGCTTCAAAATTTATTATTTAAGCTCGAAAACCTAACATCACATATCACACGAACCCAAATAACCTTACAACTTAGGTGAGTTGTTGTTTCTTTACTCTATTATTATGTGATTGTTGACAAATATATGTTTTGTATGCATCATGTTTATTTATTTATTTATTGTAAATGATAAAAAATACTTTATAACAAGGTAATTGTACTATAAAAGAAAAAATTATAGCAATGCATTTTTTAAAATTTTATTAAATAGTTAGATTTAAACATTATATATTAACTTTAATATTAACATTATCTTTCAAATTTTCTATAACTTAAGAGGTAGAAGATGTAATTATCGGTTTTAAATGTAAAATTATTTCTATTTGTTGGAATCTTTTCATCCCTATTATGATTTTACAAAATACAAAATAAAAAACAATGATAGATAAAATCACAATCTTAACAACCTTATTAATAATCATTTTTTCATAAAAATTAATCTAAATTTAAAATAAGATAATCTCCTTATCTCCTCCCACAATTTTATAATTGGATCAAGTTTTTACACGTTTTGAATACTTAACCTTCAGAAAACATGTAAAAGTTCTCCAATTATATTTATCTCAATAATTCGTAAAGTTACATAATGAAACATCTAATTACTAAACTTTCAAGGAGAAATCGGCCCTACCCAATAATGTCAAGAGCAAAAGCTGCGCACTCTCACTTAAAAATTCACAAATCCAAATAGAATCAAGAACAAACTCTCCCACCCCATCAATCTATCATCATCATCATTAAATTCCAATCACCATTCACGCAATCTTCATCAAGGGTTCATTCATTTCCTTCCAAAACACAAACACTTGCCATTGAAGTCAATACCTTGTGTTAAAAAGTCGTATCTAACTATTTTGCTTGATACCCACATCAGTACAATGGAGTAGATATATATAATAAAATATAAATCTATATCGATATCTGTACACACACTAAACCACACACACATATATAATATATGGGTGTTGAACCACCGCCTGACACGGCGGTTCACAATCAAGAATCAGACCCTGCTGCTGCAGTTGTTGTTCCAGTAGAGAAAGAGACGGAGACGGAGACGGAGACGAAATCAGACATGGCTAAAACTTCTACTTCTTTACCTCAACCTGCTCCTTCATGGTTCACTCCCAAAAGGTACGAGATCTTATCATTATCAATAAACCCAGATGAATGTGGGAATTCAAGTAAATTTCAGTTTTTTTGCATTCGAAATTGGTCAATCGAATCTGGTTTTGGGGTTTTGTTTGTGTTGTTGACGTTTCACCATGCTTAATAGTTGGGTTTCTGTGATTCCTAAGCAATCATTAGGGTTTCATCTTCCGATTAGAGCTGTAATAGAAACCCTAGTTTACTGATTGTATTTCTGCAGGCTGCTTGTGATATTCTGTGTGATCAACATGATAAATTATGTGGATCGAGGTGCCATTGCCAGCAATGGCGTCAATGGAAGTCCCAGAGTTTGCACAAAAACTGGTGTATGCTCTCATGGAAGTGGAATTCAGTAAGTCTTTCCTTTCACGTTCTTCTTGAATTCGATATTTTGATTGATACTGATCTCAAATGAGACAAAAATTGTAATTTTTCATAGGGGCGATTTTAACCTAAGCAATTTCAAAGATGGAGTAATTTCATCTGCTTTCATGGTTGGACTTCTTGTAGCATCTCCAATATTTGCATCATTGGCCAAAAGGTAATATGTTAAAATTATGTGTAATTGTGTTATTATGGATTCTAAATTACTACTAATAATAATATTATTCATTATTCATATTCTAATAATCTTTAATGTTTTCTATATTTGCAGCATTAATCCATTTAGGCTTATTGGAGTTGGATTATCTGTTTGGACTTTTGCAGCAGCTGGTTGTGGGATTTCAATTGACTTTTGGTCAATCACAATTTGCAGAATGTGAGTTGACTATTTCAATTTTCAAACACACATTTGACTTTTTAATTTTATTTATTTTTTCCTCATTAAAATTAAATCACCCTAATAACTTTTCAGGTTAGTTGGTGTTGGTGAGGCTTCTTTCATTAGTCTTGCAGCTCCATTTATTGACGATAATGCCCCTGTAACTCAGGTTCCATCTTCTTTTACTAATCACCTAATATTTGTACATATGACGATAATACCCCTGTATAAATATAACATATTTATTTAATTTTACAGAGAACAGCTTGGTTGGGAATATTTTACATGTGCATACCTACAGGAATTGCCCTTGGTTATGTTTATGGTGGATGGGTAAGTTTTTTATTTTACCTAATTTTAATTATAGTAAAAAAGTGTAAATATAAATATAAAAAGTCAAACTAATGACTTTTATTTATTTATTTAATTATTTTTGTGTTTAGGTTGGAGATGGATTTGGTTGGAGATATGCATTTTTTGGTGAGGCAATTTTGATGTTGCCTTTTGCTATTTTGGGGTTTGTAATGAAACCTTTGCAAATGAAAGGTATTTTTTGAAAAATATAATCATTTCATATTTTTAATTTTTAATCATTTGGTGTTACTAATAAAAAAAATTGAAAATACAGGGTTTTCTCCAACAGGGACGAAAAAGTCATTGACAACTCCAGAGACAAATGTTATAGAAATCGAAGGTGCTCCATCTTACTTTTATTTATTTATTAATAATTAATAATAACAAAATAATAATACGCCTTTCTTTTAGTAATTATTTGATAAAAATATATGTATCGAAACAGTTATTACAAATGATAAAGATGTCCCTGTATCCAAACACACCTCAAAAGAACCTTCCAGGTGTGTTCTTATTTCTTAAATCAATAAATCTAAAATTTTATTATTTTTATCATAAAAAAACTTGTTACTATGAATTTATCTTTATTGCAGATTTGGTTTATTTTGGAAAGATATAAAAGCTCTTTTGGCTGAAAAGATATTTGTCATCAATGTTCTAGGTACTATTTTTATTTTCTCATCATTTTGTTTAATTGTTTACTATAAATTCTTTTTTTTTTTTTTTTTTTTTTTTATAATTTTCTAGGTTATGTTGCGTACAACTTTGTCATTGGTGCATATTCATACTGGGGTCCAAAAGCTGGTTATAGCATATATCATATGGTAACCATTTAATTTAATTTTTTTCTCTCATTTAATAAAATAAACAATAAAAAAAACGTACCATTTTATATTTATATTATTTACAGAGTAATGCAGATATGTTATTTGGAGGAATCACAATTATAGGTGGAATTGTGGGGACATTATCAGGTGGTTTTATATTAGATTACATGAATGCCACAATTCCTAATGCTTTCAAGGTATGCTTTTTCATTTTTCTCATTAAATGAAAAATCTACCTAATTATTTTTCTTAAATAAATAAATAATAAACCCGTTTTTTTTTTTTTTTTTTGTAGCTTCTTTCAACTGCAACGTTTTTTGGCGCAATATTTTGCTTCAGTGCCTTTTGTTTCAAGAACTTGTATGCTTTCATTGTTCTGTTTCTCATTGGAGAAATTCTCATATTTGCAACTCAGGTAAAAATTAAAATCACATATTATTAATTACTTAATATTTGTTTATTTAATTATTTAATATTTCAGGGTCCTGTAAATTTTGTTTGTCTTCATACTGTTTAAACCAAGTTTAAGGCCTTTATCTATGGCCATGTCTACTGTCTCAATTCATGTCTTTGGTGATGTTCCTTCTTCTCCTCTTGTTGGAGTTCTTCAGGTTTGTTATTTTTTATTTTTTTAAATAATTGATAAAACTTTTTAATAATTATTCTTAAAGTAACATAATGTTGGTTTGTTACAGGACAATATAAAAAACTGGAGGACATCTGCTTTGATTCTAACTTCAATACTGTTTTTGGCATCTGGAATATGGTTTATAGGTATGATTTTGGGATTTACAAGATTTAATAAATTATGAAGTACAAAAATTTAATGATTTTTTTTTTTGAAGGTATTTTTGTTCAAAGTGTGGATAGATATAATGAAGATAGTGAGCATCAAGATGGAAATACTGAGCGAACAAATACAACACCATTGCTTGAAGAAAAGACGATTGAGACAGATGTTGGTTCTTCTGAATCATGAAGATGACAGGATCTTTTGAGGGGTATAAATGTCTTTTTCTTTTTTAACAAATAGTAGATGGTACAGCCTCTCACCAGCTAGCTATTCTTTCCTTTTTGATGGTATTCTTGTTTGTAAGTATTTTCGTTTTGAGCTTACTTAGGATTTCAGATATGTTCATAGTTAAATGCATCGGGTTTTACACATGCTTTTCTTTTCAACTAATGGAAGGGTTTTATCATTTTATGGTTATGTTATCGGGATGAATCTGTTGGCTATTGTTTAACAAATTTCTAAAAATGATCAATAGGATGTTGAACATCATATAATTGTGTTGTAGTTTTAAAACTTTTAACATAACTCACGACACAAGTGCCATTTTAACCAAGTTGTATTGATTTCAAACATTTGTTATGTTACGTGATTGCATTGCGATAATTCGATACCTTTGGTCAAACATTCAAGAAGGGTAAAATGGCCACATGGCCCGTTCGATTGAGATTTATATACATAGAAGGATAAAATGATCAAGCTGAGATATTACAAAAAGTTTCAAAATTTTCTCAAACACAAAAAAAAAAAGTTTCAAAATTTTCTCAAAGACAAAAAAGCCAGCTTGTGAACCGGTTTAAAAAAAAAAAAAAAAACTCTGATCCGGTACTAACGGTAAAATATCAAATGAGCGGTGAGGCTAAGTAAATTGAAACTGCTCCTCTAAGATCCAGATTGTTAAACTATGTTAGATAGGTGGTAGGTAGAAGTTGAGTGATTCATAAATAATCTGGTTATATTGGAGTTATATTGTTGTTAGTTGGAGTTTGATTTCGGTTTTTTCGGTTTGGATTAAAAAAAAGTCATGTTAGATAAGTGGTAGGTAGAAGTTGAGTGATTTCATAAATGGTGTGGCTATGTTGGAGTTATATTGTTGTTAGGTGGGAGTTTGATGATTCATAAATGAAAATTTGAACGTTTGGATCATTTTATCCCTCTCAAGATGGTATATAGTATGTGATTGTTGGATTTGTGTAACCATATTATTATTAAAAAAAAAAAAAAAAAAAAAAAAAAAAAAAAAAAAAAAACTATCTCAATTCAAGATAATGGTTGCGGTTCCAAACGATTATGTCTGTTCTCCATTACCATCTACGGGACAATATTTAAGAAACTTTTGAATCGGTTGTTGAAATGGCTTTTGGGTTGCAGAAGTGCGTTGCAAAAGTTGTGATGACTTACATATTATATCACCCTCTCATGTCTGACCATAGTCAATAACAATTAAGTTAACGTCAAGAGTAGTGTGCATTTGTTCTTTATATATTATTATATATATATATATATATATATAATATATATATATATATATATATATATATATATATATATATATATATATATATATTGTATTTTGTCTTATATTTGGCATTGCCTCCGTTTTTATTGTAACAAATGTGTGAATAAATGTGAAACTACTATTAAACGGTAAGCCATTACTCAACATGTTGGGAAAAAACCATTGGAAGACTTATGGTGTTATTTGGTTTTTGGGTTATCGGGCTCGGGTAATTCGCTTTTTGGGGTATAGGTAACCGATGGAACCCATTAAGGTTTGGGTTATTTCGTTTTCGAGTTATTCATGTTGGGTAATTTGGATATGGGTTATTTGGGTACATATTATAAATTCTGACTAAACAAGAAAAGATGAGTTATCAGATTAAACCAATATGTGGCGAGATTACTAGTGTTCTCATCAACAAAGTATATTATAGAAAAAATTTTACATATGATCTTTAAGCTTTTCAGTTTGTCCCTATAATATTACTTATGAAACCTTTTTTGCATTGATGGTTCCTACAGAGCAAACCTTGTACACAAATGATTTTTTTAGTTTTAAATTTGTCTCACTACCGGTCATTTTGATTAACTCTGTTAACATTTTATGCTAAACCCTTGTGAAATTACCAATATAAACTTAATGAATTTTTTTTAAATGATATAATTAAAAAAAAAAAGATAAAGACAATTGGCCTTCTTCTTCGATCACTCTACCTCTTTATCTCTCTCCTACTGCTAATGCACTCTCTTTTACTTCTCATTTCTCAATTCTCATTTTTGCTTAAGTAAATAAAACCCCTAAATATCCGATTGCCCAAAATCAGTTACATTCGACGCCGACAATACCAAGAAGCCCGACTGTCGTGAACTCAAATTAGGTTTCTCCTGTTTTGCCCTAAGACTTGGACTAACGTCTAGCAGTAGCTCCAACGCTAAAGCACCTTTGCCACCTACCTACCTGAGTGAGAAGTCGTTGATGTACGTTTCTGATAAAGTCCGATAGAGACTTTAGATCCAGATTTAGGTATCCGGTAGGGTGACCTTAACCCTACAACCACCAATTCAGGTATCTAGTGTGTGTTTAGGGTTTTCTATTGGGGGTGACGGTAGGGGTGGCAACTCTCCATCCAACCCGTAACCCAACACGAAAATAAATGGGTTTGGGTTGATATTTCTGATCCGCCAACCCATATATTATATGGGTTGGGTTGGGTTACCTGTTTGGGTTTGCGGGTCAACCCGCCAACCCGTTTATATATATTATATTTAAAAAATAAAAATTTAAACGTGTTATGTGGGTTGGGTTGGGTTGATGTTTCCAACCCATTAACCCATATATCATATGGGTTGGGTTGGGTTAATGTATTCTGATCCACCAACCCGTGATCCGCTAACCTGAACACACCCTAATTGCCAGGCCTAGGTGACGGTGGAGAACAAAGTGGAAATTGAAACCATAAATAGGAAGAAGGCAAGACGGTTACAAGAATTTGGATGGGAGTTAGAGGGGCGATTAAATGTCTTCCGGTAGAGGGTGGCGACTGTGACTAGGGGTGATGGTGGTGGCGGGGTGGAGCTAAAACATGTTGGTGGCTGGGTGAAACGAAAAATGCTTCATATTTGGGTAAAAATGATTTAGACTTCATGAGTTCATCTAGACTTGTCCGTATGTGTTGAATATAGCGACATCGATAAATGTATGTGTGTGTGTTTAATTTATCATAAAAGTCTGCTACTAAACGTAAGCAAAATGCAGATGGGATGTGAATCTACTTCTTTTTTTAGCGGTGAAGCATGAGAGAGAGAGAGAGAGATAGAGAGTTATATGGGTATATGTATGTGGGTGTTCTAGAGTGTTGAAGAACAAACCTATATATATATATATATATATATATATATATATATATATATATATATATATAGGTTATAATGTGGATGGACAATTATTGTGTGGACGTGTGGACAGTGCGATTCTATGAGAATTACTAAGAGAATACATTGTTTAGTAATGCGAATACGTTCAACATTACAAAAATATCGTCATTTTCATGCATTCTCACTAATTCTTATTCATTTTTGTTCTCACAAATCGTTTTTCACTCATTATCATTCTGACAGAATACGACTCAATAAACATTCTGACAACATTCTGACAGAATGAGAATAATAATAAAAAGTCTATAATAACCTTATAGACGATTTAATTAGTGAGAATGTGGGATAATGACAATAGTTATGTAAGATTGAACGTATTCATATTATTAAACAACATATTTTCTTTGTCATTATCACAGAATAGCACTGTCCACACGTCCACACAATAGATGTTCATCCACATTTGAACATATCTCTCTCTCTCTCTCTATATATATATATATATATATATATATATATATATGTGTGTGTGTGTGTGTGTGTGTGTGTGTGTGTGGTTATAGTCGCTGACGAGAGAAACAGGGTCCACCAGTTAACAATTAAATAAAAGAGAGGTGATATGGTCTTTTCATATTATATTTAACAGAAAACTAACGGTGTTAGTCATAAGGACCATTTGTGTGCAAAGTTTGTTCTGTAGGAACCATCTATTAAAAAAAGGTTTCATTAGGACTATTTTAGGGACAAATTAAAAAACTTTAATGACCATCTGTGAAATTTTGTCTATATTATATTAACTTGAATAATACATAATATAATTTATAAATCTTTTCATTTAAATGGATAGCAAAAAATTTATTGAGGTTTTTATCATTTTGTAAACACCTTCAAATAAGGAGCAGCAGCCACTTCTCTCCGGTGAAAACCGTTGCAATAACAACACGGGAAAATGACTTATAAGCCTAATAAAGTTTCCAAACCGCTCAAAAAACCGTTTAAGAAATCCCACGAACTTAACTTTTTGTCTAAAAAAGCCCAACTAACTTACACATTTGTTCAATTCTCATTAGGGTCAACCGGCTAATGAAAGTCAACGAATGACATGGATTATGATGTGGAATTAAATATCGGGAAAGTGACTTGTAAAACCAACGAAGTTTCGAAACCGTTCAAAAAAACCTAATAGACTTAACCTTTTGTCTAAAAAAACCAACAAACTTACGCTTTTGTTCAATTCTCATTAGAGGTTCATTAGGTACACAGTTAGTTGGCAAATGACATGACATTATATTTAATGACATAGAATAAACATATTAGAATCGTCCTTTATATATCGATTTAGGGCTCGGAGAAGAGAATACCGAACGGTGTCTGTGTTCGATCTCTTTTAATGGTTACTTCTTCTCTCTCTCAATCGTTGATGTCCAACTCAAGATATACAAAGAAGATATTTGATGATGCAAACTATTGTGGATGTGGATGCCCTCCTCGGATATGGACATCTAGAATGGATGATCATCCAGTTCAAGGCTTGTTCAAATAGATGGGTAAGTGTATTTGAAAGCTTTATCATGTCCATCTTCTATCTATTTGGTTGGTTGATTATCTTAATAAGTTCTTGTTTTTGAAGGAACCAAACAAATAGATAGAAGATGGACATGATAAAGCTTTCAGTTACACATACTCATCTGTTTGAACAAGCCCTGAACTTTTTCTCCGGAGGGTCCTCCATTCTAGATGTCCAAATCCGAAAAGGACTTCTACATCCACAAGGGTTTGCATCATCAAATATCTTCTTTGCAGATCTTGAGTTGGACATCAACGTTTGAGAGGAAGAAGAAGAAGTAGCCATTACAAGAGATCGAACACAGGCGTCGTTCGTTGTTCTCTTCTCAAAGCCCTAAATCGACATATAAAGGGCAATTCTAATCTGTTTATTCCATGTCATTAAATATAATGTCATGTCATTTGCCAACTAATTATATACGTAATGAATTTCATTGCCTCTAATGAGAATGGAACAAAAGCGTAAGTTTGTTGGGTTTTTTTTAGACAAAATGTTAAGTCCGTTGGGTTTTTCGAACAGACAAAATATGATTGGGGTTTTTGAACGGTTTTGAAACTTTGTTGGTCTAACAAGTCATTTTCCCGATATTTAATTTCACGTCATAAGTCATGCCATTCGTTGACTTTCATTAGCCGGTTGACCTTAATGTGAATTGAACAAAAGTGTAAGTTAGTTGGACTTTTTAGATAAAATGTTAAGTTTGTTGGATTTTTATGAACAGACAAAACTTAATTGGGTTTTTTGAACGGTTTAGAAACATCATTGAGCTTATAAGTCATTCATAACAACACAAGCCTAAACAAGTTGTCTGTGGCGGCCTTGAATGGTCAAACAATGAATGCAAATCAATGGAGTTAGGACATTTTTGTAGGTAGTTTTATGTGGAATCTAAACGATTGTGGTAATGAAAATAATTACTTGATTACCGATTTACCTCAATATTGTTTTTTTTAATCTTATTCAGGTTAATCGGTTAAACCAAAACCCACTGAAACAAACTGTTAACCGATTAAGCTTATACGGTTTTTGATTAACTGAATCAACCATCCGAAAACCGAATAACCCAAACCGATTATCTTATCTTTCTCCCAATAATTAGGATACATTTTAATATTGGGATCAAGAAAAAGAAAAGAAAGAAAAAAATAATAATTGATGTGTATGTGTGTATAGGTACGTATGCATGTGTGTGTCCATGCGTGAGTGTGTGAGAAAGAAATAGAGGTAGGAGCACACAGGAACAACACAAGCTGGAGTTAAAAAAAACAAAACCATAGGGCGCCCATAGTATACCAACGGTTTATCCTCTTCCACATAGACATAGCCATGTGTGTTATATATATTATCCTTAACCTTAATTTATTATGCATATGCATCTACAATTGAATCCAAGGATCGTGTGATTCTAAAAATTAACAAATGGCACCGACTGCGGCCATGCTTACGCTCGTAGGAGAAGCCCACCACCACCGCCACAACCCCACCACCAAGTCGGCGGCGGCGGCATCTTCACCCCCATCTCCACCATTTTTTCCGGCGAATAATTCTGCGGTGAATTGGGTTTTGAAACTGATCCAACCTCATCAAACATATGAAGCAAGGACATCAATGGCGGAGGATCAGATGCATCCGGATTAGACAAGAATTTCAGGGAGTTGTCGAGATTGGTATAGCTGGTAAAATCATGAACGTATGAACAACCATACACATTAGATACAGAGTTCATTTACAGAATATGTATTGTATATATCCTGCCATTTTCGTTCTTGTACTTTTGATCCAAAAAAAGATGAAATGCAAATAGATTTTGCATGGGTTCTTATTTTATAATAATGGTACAAATTCAACATTGTTCTTACCCTTTGCGAAAACGAAAAAAGAAAATCAAAGCAAAAGCTGGGGATCAAATCCATTCAAATCATGATATATGTATAACTATAAATTAATTTTATATATTCTTTCAAATCATGATATAATAACTATAAATTAGTTTCATTTATATAATCATGATATATTATAATTATAAATTACTTTCATTTATATAATCTTCCCATTATTAGCTTTTCATTCCATAAGGAGGAATGTCTTTCTTCTATATTATAATTATTATTGTATATTACGTCTATTTATATAATTTATAATAACAATATATTTAAAAGAAAAAAATTCGAGAAGACGAAAAGCATTTTCAATTGTAAACTTATTAAGATCACCTCATTATTTCATTAATTTTGACTTTTAATAAAATTACATCTCTAAATGGTTAATATATATAATAACTTTTTTTATGAGTTTAACTAATTAATCACCATCTATCTAAAATATTTCATAAAATTCATTCATTTAATTAGTTGTTTTTAAACACTAACATATTTTAATAAATATGTTCGGTCCGATCCGGTTCAGTTCTACAATGTGTGCTCTTTAGGGTTGTGTTCGGTTCCGGACCAAGAACCAAAAACCAGTTTAGCGGGAAACAGTTGAATACTAACGCTTCAATTAAAACCTTTACATTCCAAAAATGACAAAAAAAAAATAGTTGTTATTATTTTTACTTTTTAATATTTTATGGTATTTAACTTTTTATTACATTAGCCAAAATTTTAAAAATAATAATCATTTTCTTTTTCAGCCTACTTACTTGAAATACATTAATATACATTTCAGACGACATTATTTAGCGATTTTTTTATTTGATTAGAAATTTCATTTTATATAAAAACATGTTTTTTTCATTATTTATCAGTTTAATTTCATTTAACTTTCTGCCTACACATGACACACAACAACATGATTGCTCGTTCCATTACTGTTATTCCATTCCTTTGTTATTACATTTCAATGTTTGCATCATACCATACATTCATTTGCGATTACATTTCAATGTTTCATCATACCAAACAAACCCTAATAAAATCACATATTTCTCTATTGGGCATTGGCAAAAATTCAAGAAAAAAGAATAAAACTTACCAAAAAATTGATGATATGGAAATTTCATATTTACACAAGGGAAAGCTCCCCAGATGGAATTGATCTCTTCACAAGCTTAGCCCATGATTCATTTGTCTCCGCAATCACCTTCAAAGCATAATCCTGTAATTCAACTCAAACTATATTCAACCCTCAACTAACAAATTGTAACAACTTTATACCCTATGGAATTATAAAATTTCCGTTTTTAGAACCTTTTCAAGTTCCATTGCCATCTTTACAAAAACAAAACTTGATATTGATTTGGGTCAAAAAATATTCTCTTTATCTTCTTGATATCAAAAGGGTATTTTTTTAAATTTGACAAAAAGTCAAATAGTCAACCAAAATAAATGCATACCTTATTAGCTGCTTTGTTGCCAAGTCCAAATTTATTGGCTGGTTTTCCATCTGGGATTTTATAGTCTCTAAACCAGTCTCTAATTGCAGTTAAAGTCCCCTAAATTTACCAAATTTCACCAATTAGTCTCTTGAATTGAACTCAAATTGATGAAATGTCACATAATTCTAACTTTAATATGTTCTATGAAAGATTAAATCATTGTGTTATTGCTCCATAAATAAGGAAGAGTCGACACATGGTTTTATAAAGTGTAAATTTAAAGGGAGAAAAAAAATACCGGGAAATGTTTGTCCACGTCATCAACATCGTTCACAAGTGGGGCCCGTGGATCATCCAATGAAATTGCAACAATTTTCCAATCAAGCTCACCTTCATCGATCATAGCTAGACAACCTATGGGCTTCACCTTCATA